AGCAATTTAATTTTCTTTTATTTAAACTGCCCGATGTAAAATAAAATTTTTCATTTAAAATGAGTGGGTTGATAATTTCACATTTGAATATATTTTTAATGTACATCACTTCACATGTCTGAAAAATGCGGTTTTATTTAATTGTACTGGCCAGTAGCGGATTTAGGGGGGGGGGGGGGGGGGGGGGGGCGGACGCCCCTCCCCCTCAGGAAGTCGACGCCCTGCCGACCCAAAGGAGATATCCATTTTTGGCTGACTGACCTTAAACTTTTCTAAAGGCGCCTTTGGCGCCAATATATACTAGTTTTGAAGGGGAGAGCGGACCAAAAAAAACGCAATTTTTCCGGTCAAATTTGTCAAAAAAGTGCCAAAAATGTCTATTTTTCAAAAGTTTGCCTGCGGCACAGAAATTTTCGTCAAATTAGGGTCTTTATAACGGTTTGGGAGAGCTCAGAAAATCAATTTGGTCGACCTTATTTTTTTTTGAAAATCCCACCCCTATTGAGAAGTTCCTAGATCCGCGCCTGGTACTGGCGTTTTGAATGAATTTTAGATTAAGCAGGTTCGTTTTTTTGCGATCGAGTGGAATTTTCCCAGACTAAATTTTAATTCCACCCTGGGGATGACTGAATTTAAGACATATCTGACGCATGGAATTGATTTTAATGCTGTTGTTTTTGACTAATTGATATTTATAAATTATAAGCAAAATGGCTGGCATTATTGATGTCGTAAAATGTTAAGTAGATCTGCTGCAAAAATTGTGAGCTTAAAAAATGAATAAATCACACACAATTGGCTTTGATATAAACCAGTAGATGATGATTAGAAATGGGAGCTTAAAGATATATAATATAGATTCTGCATAAAGTAAAGGCTCATTGCATGTAGAATTATGATTAGCTACACTTACTACATAATCAACTTCAATCACACCAAGTTTTCTGCTCTTTTTTGGTGATAATGAGTTGAAATATCAGATTGCCCCATCCAAAATCAGTTGAACTTTCTTCTTTTTTCCGTTTCTCTCGTCGTTATTAAGTGTCTTTCAAGTTTCAGGAATATTTTCCCTGTCTAACTTGACCTTTATATGCATCATATAAAAACACTTAATGTTAGTTCCCAAGTCAGTCAAGTGGTTATAATGGTAATGAATTGAAGAAGGCTACAGTCTAATTCAATCGAAATTATTATAATAGCTTTTTAACAAAACTTATTTTTTTGTGAATATTATGGAAGTTGATTGGAATTTGATGTTTATTTTCAACCTTTACCTGTGAAACTTAGGTATTTCTTCAGAAGGGTTTTTTTTTCAATTAGATCTTGTTTGATCTAAAATGATAAAAGAGGAATTTGACAGAACTCGACAGAAATTGACAGAACAGATAACAGTGGGGTTTACATATTCTTGAGAGGTCAGGTCATGGTGAAAATAGCGTGAAACAAGAAAATGTATTTTCTTACTAATATTTAAAACATGCAAATATTGCATGATAACATCTTTTCGCTGTCAGCTTCAGAAAGTGTTGTGAATTTGGTATGGTTTTTTTATTTTATGAAATGGAAAAACAAATCAGGTTTCCATTGACATTGATTTGTCCATAAAGATCGTCTGAGAGCGATTATTTGATTCTTCATTAAATTTTCTTGTTTCATGAAAGCTTACAGTGATAAACAAAAACATTTTTTGTTTGGCTAGAAGAGCAATCGAAACTTGCACACATTCGGGTGCACGTAACGAGGTCTATTCTCACGCGGAAAAGACTAAGTGCGCGAAAAATTTTATCTATTCAACGCGCTTTCAACTGTCCGAAACAGACTGAATTTATTGCATTTTGTTATTCGACTTTTTGAAATTTGAGCTCTAATTGGTTGACCAAGTTTTCGCGCATTCGGCCCATCGCGCTTGAATGGATTCCTTCGCAAGTAACATGTTTTTACTAGGTTCTTTCTGCGTGATAATTAGATTCGGAAAATTGTTAATTGTTTGCAATTGGTTGTTTTAAATAATTTTACTGGGTATTTGATTTTTGAATGCAAAATTGTGCTAGAATTGATTTTATGGAAGATTTCTTGTGTATATACGTACGTTTTTGTTGAAAATGTTACAATTCTTAAGCAGGTTTATGTAAGATTTTTACTGCAGTGTTTTGACCAATTCTTGTTTTTTTTTTTCAGTATGCTATGATAATTGTTTGCTATAGTTTTGGCCAGTCACTACCAGTTACTTAGCCCAATTTTTTACCGAAGACTGCCTAAACTTGTTTCCTTTAAAATGAGATAAACATCTTGGTTTTGTTTTGTAGGTTTTGCATAAACTTCTAGATGTCAAACTACACTGACCCTTCCAAAGCAGCATATTGCTTAATTTTTTTTCGATAATTAGTTTTTTAATCAATAAAAACTTAGAAAAATGTAAAAG